TTTTTTTCAATGGGGGAGTGTGCACACCCGGGTGTTGACCCGGGTGTGCACATATCTTTATCCTTCTAATTAACTTTCAATGGGTAATGATGGCGGCTTTAACCATGTTGTTGGAGAGACATTTGGCCTAACCAGTGGCTTATCACATTTTCTGATACTATATTGTAACTAAAATACTAGTCTAATAGTTATAGGGATCTTGATATATTTAAGACTCTTATTTTTTTGATGTAGGACTCTTGTTCTTTCACACTCACAAGGGAATATATATTTCAACACTCTCCCTTTGACTTGTGAGTCATGAAAGGCTCCCATGAGAGTTCATTTTTCAGTTTTTTTTTGGACATACAATCATGATTCATTTTTTTGATATACATGATCCATGAGAATATTCATCATGGGCATAACATCATCCATGTGTATACTCGTTATGGGTTTACATAACATACACTCTCACTTTTGCTAGACTTGGCCCAAGATCATATCACTGGCTGTATTACACCATTGGCTCTAATACCATTTGTAAGATCACTTAGGAAAAACTGATTCAAATCAACATAAAACTTGAGATGATCTTGAGAAACATGCAAAAGAAGAAGAAAATAACATAAACTGAGCTAGAGATGATGCTCAAATTTTTCTCCATTGATTTTCTATACATTTTACATCAATTCTTGTCTGTTTTTGTACAAAACAATACCAACTACATACCGTGTTCACTTAATACATTTGAATAATGATATAAACCCTATAAAGCAAGGAGTATGGTGCATGGATACAATTAAAGCCAAACCATATATTTAGGTGAAACACTTAACATCAAAGATACATGAAGATTACATTTGAAAAACAACAAAGAAACTTCTCAATAACATAATTGAAATTGAACGGGACATAAACGATGCATGTGAACAGTAACATTGCTACACTATTCCATTTATCTTCAAGACTCTTCCTTGAGAGGTTTCTTTGTTAGCCCAAGCATAGACCTTAGAGTTTCAATTTTGAATTTTGACAAAGATTTAGTGAGAATATCAGTAGTTTGAACTTTAGAATCACAGTGTAGTAGTTTAATTTCCTTCTCCTTAACAAATTGTTTGATGACAATGTATTTCACATGAATATGCTTTGTTCTTCCATGTTGTACTTGATTTTTAGTAATTGTAATGGTTGATTTGTTGTCAATTTGAATTACACATGGCTGGACTTCAGGTTATCCCATGTCATTCAGTATTTTTCTCAATCATAGTATGATTTAAGGTAGCTCTAGTGGCAACATATTTTGCTTCTGTTGTAGATTGTGCCACATGATCCTGCTTGGATGAATTCTAGCAAAACATCCTTAAACCAAATGAGAAAACATATCATGTGGTGCTCTTTGAGTCATCAAGACATCTTGCCCAATCACTATCCACATAGCCTTGTAAGGAACCATCACTTGCAAACTCATACTAAATTCCATAATCAACAATTCCATTTACATATCTCAAAACTCTTTTAGCAGCACTGAAATGAGTCTGAAATAGTGAAGTCATGCACCTTGATAGTAGACTGGTAACAAACATAAGATCAGGCCTTGTTGTTGTTAAGATAAAGCAAACTTCCAAACCAAACGTTTACAAACTGAAGCATTACACTTCTAGTTGTCATCATCCTTAGAAAATTTCAAATTTTGTGTAAGAGGAGTAGCAGTTGGCTTGCATTTATCCATTTTGAACTTCCTAAGAATGTCCTTGGCATATTTTTCTTGTGAAACAAAGATTCTACTACAACATTGCATCACCTCCATTCCCAAAAAGTATTTCATCTTTGCCAAATCTATCATTTCAAATTCATTTTGCATGGAAGCCTTAAATTTTTGAAGGAGTTCAATGTCTCTTCCAATCACCAAAAATCATCAACATATAGACAGACTAGCAGCTAAGAATTAGCATTTCCACCCTTAACATAAAAAGTGAATTCAATTTGACTTCTTTGAAATCCTTGTTCTATTAAGTAGGAATCAATCCTGCTACACCAAGCTCAAGGGCTTGTTTCAGGCCATAGAGAGCTTTATGCAGCCTGTAAACATGATCTTTGTAGCCTTGAACTAGAAAACCTTCTGGTTGTTCAACATAAAACTCTTATTCCAAAATCCCATTTAAAAAAGTAGATTTGACATTTAAATGATAAACTTTCCATTTCTTTAAGGCAGTTAAGGCCAAGAGCAGCCTTATTATGTCATGCCTAGCTACCAAAGCAAATGTTTCTCCAAAATCAACTCTAGGTTGCTATGCATACCCTTTTATTTATACAACCT